TTATTTCAGAAATGCTACTTAATTTGTACAAATATATTTATTTTTTATTTTATTTATATATTCTAAATTCTAAATATATAAAATTATAAATTTATATATAATATATAATATAATATAAATTGTACAAATCTAAATGCTAGCTTTTATAAATAATTTACAGTTCCATTATATATCGTATTTTTAAAATATAAATAAGCTCATGATAATAGAAGATAATTCGTATTTATTTGATTTCATTTATATAATCTTGATATAATTTCTTGATGGAAATTTTAATATCATCGATGTCTTCCAGCTCTAGCATCAGTTACGGCACCCCATAATTCGATAACGAAATCATCATTAAATCCAAAATCTTCTAAATCTGAATTATCGATTGCTTCCGCAAATTCTATACTATTGCATTTGTCTTTTGCGAGTTCCCAGATTTGTGTTGCTATTTAAATAAATAAATTCGATGAATATTATTCAAAAACACAAAAAATATTTTTAAATATTGTTATATACATTGAATTTTACAAAAAAAAATATTCTATTTTTAAAATAGAGTTTGAATGATAATATGTATTGTATACCTAATTCTGTATCATAAATACCCATAAAACTTTCCAATATCATGTTGATTTTTTCTATACCGATAATAATAGCATCATCTACCTATTAATTAAGAATTAAAAAGAAAAAGAATAATTTTTTATAAATATTTATACCATAATTAATATTTTTTAGTAATGAATAATTAATAAAATAATTAATTAAAAAATTACTTTTTCTATAATTTGCGCACTTCCATCAGCTTTGAATCTAAGAGTTTCTTTTCCGGTTCCATAACCGGATTTCTTCCTTTTTTCATATCTCCCCGTGGGCCAATATTGGCAAACCCATTTTTCAATGGTTCCACAATTCTTAAAGTAAATGTGTCTCCCTTAGGAATTTCTTTTAACATTTTTGCTACTTCTAAATGACGTTTGCCAATTAGGCTAATAGAATTAATTTTTTCAAGATGATCTCCAACTTGAATTACTTTTATCCTATCGATCACCGAATCTTCTTTGATACGTTTTATGAAAGCATATCCTGCTCCATTATCAGTTATTGTTAATCCAAAGGAATCATTCGTTTTAGTTAATTCTATTTCTTTAGGTGTTCCTGATAAAAATTAATAATTAATGCAATAAAAATTAAATTATTTCGAATAATATTCGAAATAATATTAAATAAATTATAAAGTTCGCGATTACCTTTCTTATGTGCAAATATAAAATCTCCTACTTCTATTTGATTTCCCAACAACTTATTCATATCAATTTTATGAGTATTCAGAGTACAAAAAAGTATCTGAAATAATAAAGAATTGTTTTTTGGGATTTTTATATATCATAATTTATTCTTTTAATTTATTCTGTAGTTTATTTTTTTTTTGTTTTTCATTCAATTTTTACATCACTTTTAAAAATTTGCCCAATTAGAATGTAATATAATTAATTAAAAGTTAATTTTTATAAAATTTTTTAATATTATTATTGAAGTTAATTCAATATTACTTCTGATTTTAATTACTCACTATATAGATAAAAATATATGCTGTAATTTGATGGGTAGATACTAATATTGTTTTTTACTATTATTATACGGAAAGCTACATTTAACTCTATTCGCCAGATTGGCCGGAGTCCATAGCCCGGAACCGATATTTCCTGTATCCGGGATATTCTTTCCATGCGACGAAAAGAACATTATTTGTATATTATAAAAGTAACTAAATTGTAGAAAAAATTATTTTTTTAATGTAATATTAAATATATATTGATATTCTATTTTTCATTTTATAACTCTAATAAATAATTATATGTATTAAAAAATTTTTATTTATTCTTATATAAAAAATTCTTGAAAATTAATTACATAAAAAAAATTTAAATTTCTATGACAAATTCTAGCTATTATATATCCAAAATACTAGATAAATTGTTTCTATCAAATAATATGAGAGGGAAGGGACAGGTCTAAATCATAAAAAGACTTACTTCTTCGATTGGTATATCATAACATTCCGCTATTTTTTGATAAAGTTCTCGTACATTATTAAATCCCGATATCAACCCCGTTGGACTCCCATGTGCTAATTGACAATGGAATACAGGTAAAGGATTAGAAATTTTAGAAGATCGTCTTTGTTCTTGATTACTGTTTTGTTGATCAAAAATTCCTTGAGGACTTTCTTGATCGTTCTTGTTTCCATTCGATTGATTGCGATCATTATGATAATAAGTTTCACTATTCAAAATTTTTTCTTTCTCTGGTGTGGAAGATCTAGGAGCAGCACGTGATTTGAACAACGGCATGACTATTTCTGCGAAACAGAACGTGATTAGGTTCAATTTGTTAAAAATTTTTCTTTAAGAATTTAAGTATAAATGAATAATAAATTTTTTCTATTTTTTGCAATATTTAAATATTTTGTATATAATTTTTTTATTATAGAATTTAATTGGAATTAATATACAAAGCTTAGTAAAAATTTTATATTTTTTAAAAATATTTTAATTATTTTTTTATTTATATTCCTTTCTTTATCTCATTTTTAATATTGATTTCTTTTTTATTTTATTTTTTTTTTATTATAAAATCTTTCATATTATTGGAACAAATACTTAGTCTTAAAAAATATTTAGTCTTTTCTACTATTTACTATTTACTATTAATATATATACTAAAATATAAATTTACTAATATATATACTAGATTATATAATTGATATAAAATTAAAAAATAAATAATAATAAGATGATAAGATTAATGGATAAACTAATTAAAAAAAATTAATTTGTTTGTAAGGTAAGAAAGTTTTTTAAAAATAATAATTCAATGAAATTAATTAATATCAATAATAGTGAGAATAGTATTTCAAAAAATATTTAAATAATTCAGAATATAATTCGATGATATGATTTTTTCATGTACGATATAATATTCATGTCAAAAAGAATTCGACTATTCAGGATCAAAAAATCAATTAAAAAATTATTTCTAAATTTTTCAACTTAATATTAAATTTAAAATTCATCTAAAATATACTTAAAATATAAATATCAAAAATAAAAATGCAATAATATATTATAATAAAACTGATCTATAGAAAAAACCTACTAGAAATTGATATTGATATGAATTGTTGACTTGCGTTACAATTATCACAATTATTAGTTATTATATACTACTTTTATTTGTTTAATTGATTATTTTGTTATAAGAATATATAAGAATTAACATATTCAAATATATTTTTTTCACATATGAAAAATCAAAGATAAATATTCTTCTATTCTTCTATTTTAATGTAATCGCAAAATCTCTTACCTTTGCTCTGTATAGAGTAGAAAACAATGTTATCATGCGAGTAAGATGCAAATTAACATAAAAAAAAACGTTTTTCATATCTGACAAATAGTATTTTTTAATTAAATTTGTACTAATGGATTTCGTTTTTATCGCTTTTATTACCATTCGTTTGATCGTTATCAGAACAGTAATTCACTGGCCACGCGATCGTTGTGCTTCATTGTAGATCGTAGATTGTGGATCTCATTTCTCTTCTTTTTTAGTTAAAGTTTTTTGTGGTTGGTCTCTCATTGGGATCTTCCAAGTAAGTTAAATTATTTAATTATGATAGGATTTTCTTAAGAGAAAATATTGGAATATTTGATAACACAATTTCACACGAATGATCATGACTCACAGGAACGTATCAACGTACTATGGTTCCCTTATTCAGAATCTTTGATATAATGACTCCCCCTCTCTTATAAATAAAGGCAAATTACTATAGCACATTATTACAATTCGTCCAATAGTAAAAAATAACAGTGTATTTTAAATTCAAATTTTTTTTATTTCATATAAGAAAAGTATCACAAAAACATATATATATATATATATATAT